TCACAGCATCACCCCCTGCGTGCTTGCTGCTGGCCAACGAGTGTCACTGCAGCAAGAGCTGTGGGTGCCACCGTCCAACCCAGGGACCTCACACCTGGGTCCAGTCACAGGCACAGCCGACAAACCCAAACTGAGGTCCTACAAAAATGAAAGACCATGACTGAGAGACCGGCGAGGCGCCAGGACCCAAACGCACAGCGAGGTCTGGAGCCCCAAGGCCGCCGAGGACCAGACGGCGGAGCTGCTGAGGGTGGCTCTGGAGCAAACACCCAAACAAGTGTTCCGGGTTTGGGGCATGACCTCGGCAAATGGTCTCTCCAGTGGTTCAGGAAAAGCAGTTTTGTCCTGTATTTGAAACATTTCTGTGAGCTTGAGATTGTGTCAAAAAATATTTTTAAATATAATGAGACATGGGGGTGCGATTTCAGCAGGGGGGTCAGTGGAGGTCTCTCAGGCCCCTCCAGCTGCAGGTCCCCACCTTCTGCAGCCCCAGGACTGTTCCTGGAAGCCCAGGGTGGGCCACGGCCAGCTCTAGCCAGCCATCCTTGGCTTCCCCAGGGACGCCTGGCTCCACCTTGCGGGGGACGTCCTGGGTGGTGCTGGTCCTTGGAAGAGTCTGACGGCCAGAAAGTCAAAAAGGAAGTGGCACCTGTGCCCTGGACACTGTGGGTCCCAGGCAGGGGCTGCAGAGGACGTGGGGCACACTCGAGGCCCCACATTCGTGCCCCCACAGACTCTCCTGCAGGCCCGGAGCCCCCAGACCTGGCGCCCTCCAGCCTGGACTCCAGGCCTTTGCCCACCCCACCCTGGAACACAGTAGCAGTGAGGGACTTGTGTTCCTGGGTTTCGGGGGCTCAGGCAGCACTGGCACCCCACCTGTGGGCCAGCTTTGGGCAGGAAATGCAAACCGGGCCGAGGGGCAACTGAGGGCACATTTTGCTCTTTTTCTTTCCTTTTTTTTTTTTTTTTTTAAAGCTGGAATTCAGTGAGAAGTAAAACGAAGACTTGCTGAGTGGAGCAAAGACAGACCTGCTTTTGCTGAGTTTAGGTGAAAATGAGAAAAGAGAGAGGTGGGGGCAGGGGGAGCTGGCAATTCTATAGCTTTGCACATTTCTCTCATTATTGGCTCCTGAATCAGCCTGGCTGGTACTTTCTCTATTCAATAAAAGCCAAATGCAGCCCTGTCCTTTAACGGCTCCAACAGCAGCTCTCTGCTGAGAAAATAATACAGATGTAACTTCCAGCATCGTACACTTTCTTTTCCATTTATATGCAAATGGTGACCTTTCACCCAGGCTGTCTCAAAGAAGTGTTTCCTTAAAAATGCAAATAGCACGTTGCTGGCAATCACGGTGGCAGTCTTTCTTATATGATTATTATTATTTCTTTTAACCTTCCCAACGCTGTAAAAACCACAGCTAAACTGCTCGGCAGTAATAATGACTTTCCAAACCAAATCACAGGACTGCTCTCCAGGCGGCCTGTCACCGAGTCTGCCAGCAGGAAAGGGACGGGGGAGGAGGTGCTCAGCCCCAGGGCTGGCCGAGGGCCAGGATGGGCACAGACATGGCAGGGGTTTCTACCTCAGAGTCGCCAGGCCAGGTCTCCAGTGCCCAGGCAGGTGCAAACCATCAGCACTGCACGCAGATGCCCACAGGATTCCACAGAGAACTTTCCACCTCAAGTGGGGTTCAACACCTTGACCCCAATCCTGAACTGCATTGGGCTGGTGAGGCCCCAGGACACTCCCTCTCAGAGCTCAGAAGAGGAGCGCTGGGGGAAGCGAGCCCCCAGGCCAATAGAAAAGGCTGGGGAACAGGAGGCTAGGAGAAGCCAGGGGAGCCCAAAGGGAACGGCCTCAGCTACCACGTGTGTAGAAGGCATTGGGATGGGGCTCCCTCACACTCCCCGACCCACCCCACTGACCAAGTCAGGCCACAGGCCAGGCGTCTCCTGCACAGCCCACAGCTCCCAGGGACACTGCAATTCCCACCCATCCTCTGTGACCGAGACTGCTGCCCCCCAAGGCCCAGAGCCTGGGCCACCCCAGGAAAGGAGGGCAGTGGACGGCCAGATGACCCGCAGGCCTCACTGAGCCAGCGGCAGAGACGCTGTTCAGACCAGAGCCCAGAGAAATAAGGCAGTGCGGGGGGACTGGGCTGGCACAGGCCTTGTCCATCAAGTGGGGGTCCGTCCGAGGGCTAGCTTAGGGCCCTCCCCCCAGATCTTTGGGGTCTTCAGAGGATACATGTGCCTCCTGTGACCAGTGGGGCCTTCTCCTGAGTTCTGCTCCAGTGCCACTTGTCCTGGAAACCCCTGTTATCAGGACTCTGCAGCCCAGGAAGAAGGAATGGCCACTGCCTTCCGCCTTGAAACCACCCTCGCTCAACTTAGGCTCCTAAAGGTAAGCGAACTAGAACAGGCTCTCTTGCACACAAACAGAATAAGCAGAAGCTGCTCAAAACTCCCTGTAGGGTCTGTCTGTGCCCTTGCTCAGGTCCAGTTCAGAAAGGACACTCCAGCCAGGCCAGACAGCTCTGGGATGCAAAGCCCTTAAGAGGGGTGTTGGGCCGGCCGAGTGGCGCGATGGTTAAGAACTCGCTTGGGATGCCAGAGGGCCCCGGTTCGGATCCCACATATGAGGGCCAGTGACACTGCCCTCTACAGCTAAGATGCTGAACAACAGCTCAACCTGGAGCTGGGCTGCCATGAGTCGCCGGCAATGGCGTAGGCTGCAGCCCCTGTGGCAGTGGGTTGCCATGGGCTACTGTGTGTAGCCAGCAGCCAGCGTGAGCGGCCAGCAGCCGCAGTGAGCGGCCGTCCAGAAGCCGGCGACTGATCTGCCTCACCCTGGAAGAGCGCAATGATGGTGTCAACTTGGGCCAGTGAAGCAACGTCCTCCACAACTAGACTGAAGAACAAAACGACAGCAACTTGTCTGTTCCCCTTCCCCCAATTCCCCAGCACTGTTCCCATCCCCCCAATTCCCCAATAAAAATCTTTAAAAAAAAAAAAAAAAGAGGGGTGTTGACAACCAGCCAATTTCCCTTCTCCCACCCCCAGTTTCTCTAACTCCAGGAGATGGAAGCATCCATGTTTGAGGGGAAAAGAGCCAGCTGAGCCCCAGAGGCTGACTCAGGCAGCTGCTCGCTGGTGAGTTCCACTGTCACCGGGCTCCGGGGCTCAGAGTGGCCCAGCAACCCACACACAGTCTGTTGCTGCCTGTTCAGCCCCTGAGTGACTCTGGCAGAAAAGAGCTCACCAGGGCGGGTGGGACAGGGAAGCTTCTCACCGTCCCCGACGTCATGCCCCTGGGAACACAACTCACATCACAAGAAGGACTGCACCCTAAGTCTCCCATCAGAGCCCCTTTGGGGTCCTCCAGGTGCCAGAGATATGGGGAGCCCCACGCCCCTCAGCAGGTTCTGAGCTAGAAACTGCAGGTGGGCTGGCAGCTGAACAGCAGAGCAGAGGGTGGGGGAGCCCCAGAGCCAACAGCCAGGCCCACAGGCTTCACTGGAAGCCACTCGGGTAACAACCCCACCCTTCTGCCCTCGGGCTGACCACTGGGGCTGACCACTGGAGCAGAGGGGTTTTCTGGGTGTTTCCGGGAAGCATCGGAACCCTTGGATGGGAGAAGGTGGAAGCCCACAGCTGTCACAGGTTGTGTGTTGGGGACGGGAGCCCTCACGTGACCCGCTGGAGAGACCTCAAGAGCCACCCATGCTCGGGTGAGGACCTAAGGAGGTGACACAAAAACCTGAAGTCCAGCTAAAACACTCGGGCCACGAGAAAGCGACAGCAGGGCCCCTTGGGTCTGACTCTGCCCCGTGGACCGTGCAGGGGTCTCTCTTCCCTGAAGGCAGAGCTCAGCCTCTGCAGTGGATGGAAACCAGAAAACTCAGCTGAGGGTCCCGTGCTTTTCCCCCTTCTCCACCGCTCCTACCTCAAAACTCAAACTGAGAGCCTCCCCTCCACCCTCACCCCCACCCCCCGCAAGCACTCAAAACTCCATGCCCATGTTGACAGGGGACCCGGGGCAGCAGCAGCACCTGGGTCAGTACCCAGGCCAGGTGGGGGCTGGGCGTCGCAGGGACGCCTACCAGGCTGATGCGCCAAGGAGAGCAAGGGTGACACATGGCGGGTACAACCAGGAGCCCTTGGAAGACAAGGAAAGTTTCAGCTGCAGGAGGTGAAAGGGGCCAGGAGGCAGGTCGGGAGCGGGACTTTGGGGATGGAGAAGGTGGGAGGCAGGCTGGACACAGACGGAGACGTGGGTGGTGAGCAGGTGGCCAGGTCACAGAGAGGGTCAGGCTGCAGCCTGAGGGCGACCTCTGGGATGTGCGGGCTGCTGGCAGCATGGCTGGGGGCCTCTCAGGGCAGCTCCTTGGAACCATTTCCTATCCTGGCTGCACCCCTCATCTGGGAGGCTACGGGCCTGTGGGAACCGGCTGTGGTGGTGTGTGCCCACTGGGCCTGTTCATGGCACCAAGTGGGCCAGCAGCACCCAGGCACCATGCTTGAAACAACAGCATCCAATGTGTCTGTTTGCCCCTCATGATCAGAGCCATGCCTCTGGTCCTGGTTTGTAGGTGATGGCGTAGTCTCAGGGAAAAACGTTGAATGTCGTAAGCCCTCCCTATTTCCAGTCCCTGTTTTTGCCAATACAAAGCTTTGGTGAGGGTGGAATGTGTGAGAAACGGCACACTTCCACGTGCAAACCTGTGATTGGCACATCAGATAATTGTTCGACTAAGTCTGGTGACTGACAGGCTGCTCTGAACCACCACGTGGGGGGTGAGGGGGGGGGCCTGCACAGTTACTGCTCCTGGAAAGCGAGGGCTGGGAAGGCCCTGGTTCCCAAGCCCATCACCGGTCACAGGCGAAGCCCCAAGCCTCTGAAATGCCTCGTGGGGGACAGCAGCACCTTTACCTGGAGCCACTTGGCTGCTCAGAGAGGACGACGACTACAGCCGTTTTACTTCCAGAATACAACAAACCTTAGGGCTTTGGGAACTCAACTCAGCAAGACACACATGGGAGGCAGGAGGCCTGGGGCCCTCGGAGTGGTGCGTCTGGCACAGCGTCCCCCGTGGCGGAGAGGCGCTTGCTGCTGTGGGTTTCAGGTCTGGGAGTCCCGGGACCCTCTCAGGCCCTGTAAAGCAAGCAGGGGCATAACAGAGCATCCAAGCTCCCACCCAGCACAGAGAACTTGGGGCCCTCGTCCCACCCAAGCAGGGGCAGGTCAGCCCAGGGTCCAGTGTAAGCTGAGGCTTGCAGGGGCTGTGGCCCGTAGGGCTCTGGGGCCATGTCACTCATGCTGCTCCTCCAATGTAGTTTTTAGGCAACAAAACGGGAAAAAAGGAGAGGAACCAGATGGCTGCTGCTGGAGCCCTCAGATGGATGTCCAACATGAGCAAGGGGTGAAGCCAGGCGTGAGGATGGGGTGGGGCCGGTGGGCTGATCTGTCAGCAGCTCGGGCCAGATGGAGTGACACTTTTCCTCCTGACACCGATATCCCACATTCACATGCACACCTGGCCTGGCACCCTGAGCGACACAAACGCCAGTCCATCAGGGCCCACTCCACACGCACCCTCCTCGCAGGCTCTGCTCCAGGCATAGTCCCAAATCAACCCCACAGCACACTGCTGCTCTGAACAACTCCAAGCCAGACACCCCCAGGCAAACCCACCCTCTGCAGCTGCCAGAAGGCGCCTGTAGGTGGGGCTGCAGATGCAGAGCCTGGAGCAAGCGGATGGGGTGGCCACCAGGCTGTGGATGCCCCCCACTGCCCTGGACCACCTGTCCTCCTGCGGCCCCACTAACCCGGCAGAGGCAGCCCTACTCACAGCTTGGCGGGGATGGATTAAAAACATACTCTGAGCTAGTCATTCCCTCTGATTAAAATAACATTTAATTTTGCAAGTGAAAATTTAAAAATGGAAAAGGGGTGAAGTGATGGGTGACGACTTTTCACTCCTGAGGGAGCCCATGAGGGCATGAGGGCACCAACTTTGGCGGTTTTGCTCCAGAAACGTCTCTGATAACAAGGTCTCCAACTGTATTATCTATAATATTCTCTCCGAAGCGACCTCCGTGGCAGTCTGAGAGCAAAAGCATTCAAGTCGGGTGAAAACTGTCTCTTTCTCATCGTTTCGAGCTTTTTTTAAGCAACATGTGGAGCATGTCCTTGAAAGACAGAAAATAAGCTGAGAACCAGGACACACTCCACCCCAAAGCCCCTGCAAGCACTCAGGGTTGGGCAGGGGGCTGCCCAAAGACGGGTCCCAAGACAGGACAGGCTGTGGGGTCTTCAGGGAGCAGGACGTCTACCAGGGGCAGCTGCTCTCATCCCCCCTGGGAAACACAGCACTTTCCAGGCTGACTAATCTAATGAGGTCGGCTCTCAATGACCGTTTTCCTGTAAACTCACACCGCAAAATTCCCGTTAAAAGTACATCTGCAGACTCAACTTCTGGTTTATTCATGAGAGACCACAAAGAAAGCACAGGAAGGTCTAGGACCTGGGGGACATGGAGGGAGGCGCTCAGGCCGGCACCGCTCTGGGCTCTCCTGCCCAGCTTCCTATGCGAAAAAGCCAACAAAGGATCTGGACCTGGTCTTCCAGGGCCAGGATACACGCAGGTTTCTCTTTCCAGCCCAAGTGACGTGCAAGTCAGACTGGCTGCCCAGTGCCCTGCCAGCCTGTGCGTGGATCAGGTGACTGCCGACAGCCCCCACCCGGCCAGTCCTCTGCCTCCCAGTGCACGATGGCCCAGCACTGGCCGCTCCTGGTCTCCACCTTCCCACCCAGGTAAGGGCTGGAGCAGCCCCACCTCGCTCACTTTCCACCACGGCAGACGTGCCTCTCGCACCACCAAGTCCATCCAGGAGGAGCTCAGCCCCCACTGCCTGCCCACCGCCATCAGGGCAGCTGCACGTGCTCAGTCTGCAGACCACCACCACCACCACCACCACCACCCCCCCGTCCTGCTCTCCTGCCAGTGCTGGGCCATGCAAACCAGCTTTCCAAACTGGGCAGCCATCTCCAAGGCATGCACTCTACCATGAGACAGGTCAGCTGGGCTCTGGGCTGCTTGCACAGCCCCGCCTCCTGACAAGAGTTGGCACAAACCCCTGTCACCCCCACATGCTCACAAAGAGTCACCCATGTCCTCATGGGCACATTCAGGGACCCCAGGCCAGAGAGGATAGTGGGGCCCAGAGAGAAGGGGCCCCCCTGCTCTGAGCAGCACCAGGGACAGCGCCCGCGCAGCCCTGCCAAGCTCCAGCCAGAGCCAGCACTGGCTGCAGGCCTCGCCCGGACTCCCAGGGCACTGACAGGGCTTCCCAGTGAAAGCTGCTGTGACACCAGAGGCAGAGCAACCTTGCAACCCCAAAGGCTCTGCCCACTGTGGGCCGTCGCTGAGCGGGTTCTCCCTCAGGCACCAGGAGCACTCGGGGCAGTAGGTGACTGCTGCCTTTGCCAGAATCTTCTAAGACGGTGTGTTGGCTCTCAGTGTTTGGGGCTGCCTCCAGACCTGTGGGCAATGCCTGGGGGTCCCTCACGCCCTTTGGGTCACACTTTAAACAGAAGCAGCCCCTTGCCCTGCACGAGCTCCCAGGCCCACACCTGGGCTCCCAGGAGCCCAGGTGGTTACAGGATAGAAAGGTCTCCATGGCCCCTGCTCAGCCCCCTGGATCAGCAGACATGCCTGTGAGGTCTGGTGCTGCCAGGTGCCCAGAGGCTGAGGGGTACTCTGTGGGGAACTCGGTCTCCAGCTCCATGGGGCAGCAGGTTCAGGAAGCTGCCTCCTCCTCTTTGCAAACAAACTGCCCTCTAAGCCCTGACCCAGCCCCCTCTGCACAGTAAACAACTCTGGGAAGATAGGCAGGGCCCTGCCCGATGGAGAAACCCTCCCCGCTGGCACCACAAAACTCCAATCCCTGCTCTGCCACTCTTTTGTTTACCATTAATTAACAGACCATATGGAAGGAGGTGATAATCACAGTCAAAGACCAATGGGAGGGGAGCCCTGGTGGCGAGGACACCCCCCTCCACTTCTCCCCCAGGGCCAGAGCAAGGGCAGGCCAGGCTCTGCGAGCATCTCGTGGAGGCCGAGACCAAGCTCACCTCCTCTGGGTTTGTCGACACCCGCCTGCCTTTTGTTCACTCAGTCACTAGCTTCGGAGACATTCTCAGGTTTCTCTGATTTTTTAATCCACTGGGGCAAAATTCCTTACCTCTGTCTCCCAAAAGGGTAATGACAATAATTGATGTCATCATCGCCATGAAAGTGACACGGTGGGATGGCCCAAGACAGAGCCCACACCCTGCTACCAGACCCACCTCGCAGATGTTTTGTTTCAGTAATTAAACACAACTTTACCAGCCAGCGTTGCCCACTGATGACATGGGTGCTGAGACAAGAAAGCCGGTGGTGACTCAGAAAGAGCAGGTGGGACTCTTACAGTGAGGACCCAGCGCACCACATGCAGGAACCCCGTGGGCCCCTTTATTTTCCTGATTCACAAAGAAGAAAGTGAATCCAGCGGACAGAACAAAGTCCACAGCCCAGAGCACGTCACCCTACTGGCAAGGGCATGACGTGGCTCAAAGCTCACACCAACGACTTGGCCAACCCTGATTGTTAGTGTTAAATACACAAATCCAGTTACACTAATACATAAACAACTGGTCTGTCTCGTGACCCCACCACGTAGCAAGAAAGGAACTGAGAGGAATGCGATTTAGTTCTGTGCACGTATCCCACAGACATGCACCCTAGGTGTCGTCCCTTAAGGCTAGAAATACGTGACATGCAAAGACAAAATGCTCACATGACCATCTCCACTCCGTGTCTTGGGTGGGGGGCCGCACACGAGGTGCCGGCTCTGAGATCCCCACTCCAGAGGTCTTCTGCTTACAGCGCCAGCGATACCCCCGGCACGTCGCCGCCGGGTCCCACAGCTGCAGATATGTCTGTGTTGCTTCCAGAAACGCACGCAAAGTTTCTCGTCTTGATACAAGGTCCCCCCAATGTCTTTTCTGTCAGACGCACACCGTGTCCACTAGACTCTCAGGCCAAGCGGGTGAGCACACGAGGGAGGGGCAGAGAGAGAGGAGGAACAGCCACAGGCAGACCCAGGAGGAGAAGAACAGAGCAGCTTTAAAAAGCCATCCCCAGACCTGCTTTTCCTGCAAAGAAAGCCTTCATCTTAGAAATTTGCTGCTCGCACGCCCTCTCCCCGTCTCCATCCACGGGGAAAAGCCAAGCACTGGATATCTGCCTTTGTCAGCGAAAGAACATAACATTGACTTACCTTTCCCCACAGCTATTGTCTGTCCTCTTTCAAAATGACATCACGGAAAGCAATCATGAAATTTACATGGGGGTGTGCAGGGTGGACGGGGAGGAGAGGGAAAGCAGCTGCCTCCTCACTGCGGTCGCATGTGGGGGAGCCTGCGTGTGGGTTTCAATTAAATATCCTCTCCCCTTGGTTGCGAACTCCTAAGCCAGCTCAAGGCGCCTCTCATTTACTTAATGACTGCTCTCATTAGCAGCGGTGGCACGGGCTGGCAGACAGGCTCCTTTGTAAATACGCTACCCATGAACCCTTGGGGCTCCAATATATCTGTTTACTCTCCGAGGTGAAATAAATTTACAGTACGGCATCAGAAAGATGGATCTGCTGACTTGGGGAGTGAGAGGTGTGCAGGCTGGCAAAGCCCCCGTGACCTGCTCAGAGCCTCCGCCTACAGAAGCTGCCTGCATTTGCCCACACTGATTTATAATTGATATGCAGCATGACTGGGGGTTTTTTATGCAAAACACACAAAAGGGCAGACAGCGTCACAACCGCTATGCTCACCCCCCTCTGCTTCGTCCACCGGTGGTTCAGTCCAATAATTTCTAATAGCAGCAACCGGGGTGACAGATGCCCTGGGTTAGCACGGCTGCAGCCAAAGTACTTCACAATATTTATTGGTGGTTAGGATATGACCTACCACCATAAAGAACGGACTGCAGGATTTGTCATGCAGGTTGGGGGGAGGTGTGGGGGGGGGCTATCTATGGGCTCATCTGCATATTCAAGTGTCAGTGACTTAAATGGATATGGGTATTTTTTAAGTGCATAAATAATACCTATGGCCACAGACCAAAAAATAAAGTCATAGACACAAAGAATAGATAAGGAAAAGATACCTTTTTTTTTTAATCTATCACACATTCCCTTTTTGTTTTGAGTTTTAAAACAGTGAAACTCTCTCCATGAGAGCATGGGTATTCCCTGAGGCAGAAGCATTCGGAGCCCTCAAACCAGTTGGTCTGTCCCAGCCAGAGGGACGCGCACCGCTCGAGTTCTCCGCTGTCTTTTTGAGTCTTTTAAAAACTGCCTGTAAGGAGCTGTGCAATGAAACCAAGGGGAGAAGGCCCAGCACACACACACACACACACACACACACACACACACACGCACGCACGCACGCGCCCCCCTGCCCTCTAGGCAACCCAGTTGTCTGCCTTCTCCCCTGTCAGTTTGTGACTGTTTTTCACTCTCAAGGGTAGAAGTAGGAGCATCCGTGGTGAGGGCACCCAGGGGCCAGGGCACCCTTGCTTACCATTCAAGTTCCCTTTTCTTAATGATACATCAGGCCAACAGCTGTCCACCGTCATAACCAGGCTGTTAGAAGCCATACCGTGAAACGCGACACAAACTGAATTTCAGACCCCTGCAAAGGATGACGGTCGCGGCCCACGTGTCACGGCTCAGAAGTTCAGTGCACAGATTTCAACAGACAGCAAGCATCGCTGCTGAGCTCATTCAGTAACACAACGCCCCAACTTAATTGGCACTAAAGGCTCAGGCCACCAAAAGCGTGAATGAGACGAAACTAAAACATTCAGCCTTCTGTGTTGAAAATCATCTAAAACTTCCACGAGCGGCTGTTTCTAACATGTAGGGCTGCTGTCCACACTCCATGTAAACAAACCGAGGAGCTTCATCCTGAAAGCAGGTATGTTCAGATCCCACACACACACACTATTCTCGACAAATAAAACGCAAACTGTGCCGAAGGCCATCTTTCAGGTTGAGCAAAAAGAACTAAACGCAAGCCTTCACTGGTCAACCTGAGGATGAAATATTAATTAGCCCAACGAGAGCACAGCAGGCTCCTACGATGCTTTCCTGCCATTGTTTTCCTTCCTTCCCAAGTTCATATCCATTAGCACAGGACAGTCAGCGGAGAGCTCTCCTGAAAAGCCATTTTCTGTCTCCTCTGGACACGCTGTGAGTGCTGGGATAGTTTACATCCCAAACCTTTGGCATTCAGAAATTCTATTAAACTCTTATCGGCAGGCTGCAGGCTGCAGGTCATTGTTTGGTGGAAAGATAGAATCAGAGGGAGGGCCAGAGCTGAATCAGCCGTATTCCCCAACAATACCCCGCGTTTCATGGAAGTAGTTAGCTTGGATATGTGACAGTCAGACTCAGGGAACAGCAACAAACAGAGGTGACAACAGGGAGAGCTCGGAATGGAGGACAAAAGGCTGGTGTGGCACCATGATTGTTTCAGGTGACAGAAATGGGATTTGCACAGACACAAGTGTCTGCATGTCACACCTCCCCCACTGAGCAGGGCTTCCCGAGCTGTGTGGTCAGCGACGGGCCTCCGGACCCACCGAGGTGGCTTGGGTGAGCATTTCAAATGTGCTGGAAACTTCCAACCGCGCCGGAGGGAAGCCCCGAGAGCTCCCACCGGGAGCTGCTTCTGAAGGTGGTTTTCAGGAGCGTGGGTTCAAAATCTTTAGCTGACTCCATCAAGAGAACAAAGGAGGAGTTACAAGAAAGGGGCAGGGAGGGGACTTTGCCCGCAAGCCCCCAGGTCTGGCGGCTTCCTTGAGCCTGAGCGGCGGGGTGGCCCACACGCCTGCGATACGGTCAGCACTTTGGACAGCGCCGCACCCGGAGCCCGGCCCTTTGTTCTCGGCCGCAGCTGGGACCGACGCTCAGCCGCCGCGGCCGGAACTGCGGGCTGGGAGAGCCGCCTGCAGACCGAGCTCCAGCCCGCTCCCGAGTGCCCGCAGCAAGGGGAAACCGAAAACTTCCTTACGCGGGTGAAAACAGTCGGCATTTTTATCCTAACATACTTTCTTCTCCATAAGCGAGCATTGAGATGCTTCCTTCAACTTTATTTCATAAAAATATGTGGGGATGTGGCAAGTGACTGTTAAGTTTAGGGGGATCCCCAGGTTACCGACCTCTGTCTGACGGGAGAGGCCTGGAACTCCACAGGGGGAGAAAGGCAGAGCCCTCGCTAAGAGAGAGCTTTGTGGGGAAGGGGGCTTAATGATCATTTCAAATGTGTAATTACGTGTGCAAAGCTGCACACAGACATTCCAAGTGTCAGTTCATTTGCTTCATAAAAACTCTTTCAAGTAATTTTGGTCTAAACTTCCCGCATCTGTAATTGGCACCACCTTCTCCGGTGACCAGCTGGGGGTGAGGTTTTCTTGTTTTTTCCTGAAAGCCTCCCTGCAGATGGGCGCCCGCCTTAAAGCTGCAGACGACAATTAGGGCCGTTGTGTGTGGAGCTGAGATGGCCAGCATTAATATTGTATAGTAACAGCTGAGGGCGAGGGGGGCGCTGCCCCAGGCAGGCTCTGGCAGATGGAGCAAACAAAACTGACAGCCACTCTCACCAACACCCTGGGCTGACTCTCTGTGTGTGTGTGTGTGTGTGTGTGTGTGTGTGTCTCACACGCACACTCACGCACACACACTCGGGCCATATTGTGAGACTGTTCATGCTGAGACTTCAAACACACCAACCCTTGGACACTGTGTGAACACACACACATTGGGAGGAGATTGTGGGGCTCACACACTAACTCTTGCTCTAACACTGTTAATGTCACACACAGAGTGACCCAGCCTAAGCCCCTTACCCCAACTGCACATCTCCAGTCACACACACAAAGATGTGAGGGGCACACAGGTCTCCCCTCCACTCCACATCCCCCCCACAGCCGGGCAGCCCCTCGGCTGACACCCCACGCCCATTGCCCTCCCCACCTACAACCTGTGAGGCGGCAGGCTGGCTTCCAAGGGCCCTGGCCTCGTTCAGGAAGGCGCATGTGTCTGTCACCTCCTCTGCTGCCCAGAAAAGAGCACTGAGTGCTGACGGGGACACACAGCTAATCAGCCCCTTTGGCATCACGGCAGAAACTTGTCAGAGGTCTAGGGAGGAGTGTGTGGGGCTAGGGGAGGTACGCACCCAGGAAGGTCCCGCAGAGCATCATCCTGGCTGGGTGGACACACCTCCACTCTGAAGCCTGGACACACGGTCACTTCATGCTGGAAAAAGTTGCAGCACAAACTTCTGTGTCCCAGGGCCCCGGAGAACCCCCGTCTCATCCAGCCAATCAGAGCCAGGGAGCAGATAATCACAAATTGATGCCCTGCCAATGAGGCTCCCTTCCCCACACAATGGACCCCAGGCTGGAGACAATGAGCCCCGCCTGCAGGTGGGTGGAGAGAAGACAACAGCCCCTCAACCCAGGGACTCACGAGGAAGAGGGGGGCCCCTCTCAAACCTCCCCCTCCCTCCGCCTCCGCTTCCCCCTCCCCTTACTTTCCTCTCCCCTTCCCCACCTCCCCCTCTTCCCCTCCCCACCCTTGCCCCTTCCCCCCACCTTCCCCCCACCTTCCCCCACTTTCCCTCTCCCCCACTTCACTCCCTTCGCTTCTGTGAGGCCAGAAACCTGGAGGGAAACCAGTCAGGATCAGGTGGGATGGGACCAGGTCTGAAGAGCTCTGGCTGCCCCCAACACAGCCACTGGCTGCCTATGGGGCAGGCCCCTGTGGCTCTGAACTGCGGGGTCCCCCCACCCAGGTAGGGAGCCCTGGACGGGGGGAGGGGGGGTGTAGGGAGGACCAGGATCCAAGGCCTTGAAGTCTAGAAGGTTGAGGGGAGGAACTTGGGTTTGGACCTCCAGCTGCTCAGTCCAGAGCAGGGATGGGCAGGGGGTTGGGAGACCTTTCTGAGATGAGTCCTCCTGCCTCACCCTGTCTGACCCTTTGCTGCCTACAGGGGCCCTCTGGAGCAATAGCCTGGCCACCGCCAGACACCACTGGACACTCCCAGCCTAGAGCTTGACTCCCACTCACCCCTGAGACAACTCAGGTGTCACCTCCTGGGGAGGTCTCCATCCCATCCTCCGTTCTGGGTACTCACTGCTTATGTGCAGGTGTCTGCCCCCGACAACTGGGGACCTGGGTACAGCGCCCAGAGCAGGAGCCCTCCATCCCTGGCTTCTATGAAGGGGCCCACGGATGGACCCCTGGGAGGCAGGAGGAAGCACATGAGGCCCAAGACTTCCTGGAGCACTCCTCTGCAGCAGCAAAGCTCAAAGCTGGCCCCTGGGGTGCTGGGGTCTAGAAAAGGAATCCCAGTTCTTGTCCCCACAGACCCACCCTTCAGTAAAGGCTGAGGGTGACACAGACCACCCCTTAGGCCAGCAGTGAGCCCTCGGCAAGCAGGAGGGATGGGTGTTGGGGGTCAGGCTTCACTGCTCTAGAGCCAGGAAGAGGTGGCTCTGGAGAAAGCCTGGTTAGTGTGTCCCTGTGCCCCTCACCCCCCCCCAGCCCCGTGACTGCCAGCAAACAGTTGAATGTCTCTATGCTGCGGCCAGGCCTC